ATGCCTATCAAATTTGTGATGTATTTATATGTTTAAGAACATACAATTGATAGTCTAAGTTGTTTGCTTTACCAATTTTAAAAAAAATGGGGTGTTAGCTATTTGGCTTCAAAATTTGTCTGTGTTCCTCATAGGGAACACATAAATTGTTATCAATATATGGGGTCCCCTTAATGGTTTTTTGCGCATTGTAATCATTAGATAGACCTATGTACATCAGTAACCCATTCATTGCATGCATTTTCAGTTTAGTTTGATAGAAACAAATTATAAGATGAAATTATGTGAGCAGCATGACACCCAAAAGGAAATGGCTGCCGTCAAAAGTATTAAAAAGAAAGAGTTATCTTTTCACCAAGCTGTACAGGTCTACGGTATCCCGCTTACAACGCTGTACGGCAAATTAAAGGGGAGGAGTCCCATTGTCTGCAACAACAAAGCCCTCTTGACCACGGATGATGAGAAGCAGCTGGCCTGTTGGCTCTTAAAGTTAGCAGAAAGAGGTTTTGGGAAGACACACGAGGAGGTGAGAGAAGCAGCCAAAAGGATACTAGTAAAGAGGGATGCAGCTGCACAAATGCCCTGTAGAAAATGGCTGTACGGCTTTTTCAAGAGACATCCTGAGCTCTCAACAAGAACACAGATGTCTCTTAGAAAAGAACAAGATGGTACTTGGAGTTCAAAGCGTGTGTTGATAAGTTGGAACCTAGCCTGTTGGATTACCCTTGTCAGATATTTAATGCTGATGAGACAGGCTTTGGGTTTGATGTAAAGGGCAGAAAGGTGGTAGCCTGCAAAGGTGCCAAACATGTCTACTCAGTGTCATCCAACACAAAAACACAGGTAACGGTGTTGCCGTGCGCAAGTGCCGCCGGGCTGTGACTACCACTCCTTCTGATCTATCCCTACGACAATGAACTTATGAACATTGTGCTACGTGAGACCAATCGCTATGCTCAACATTTCCTAAATTTAGATTCAACTATTGAATGGAGAGCAAAGTATTCTCAAAGTCTGTATTTTAGGTGGCCAGAGCAAGGTATCACCATGGAACAATTGAAGAAATACCTAGGCCTTCTCCAAAACATGGGACTTGTTGGAAAGAAAAAAAATCAATGACTACTGGTCAACTACGCAAACTCTGTTGACCCATGGAACAAAGTGAGGCCAGCGCTGGACAAAATTAACACTTTTTCAAAACATTATTATATTCCGTCCAGGAATATCTCTTTTGATGAGCCAATGATCGGCATGAAAAATAGGGTTGTTTATATTCACTACATGCCTAACAAGCGACATGTTAGGCTTGGAATTAAAAAATTTCAACTCTGTAATTCTAATGGATATGTTATGCATATGTAGCTGTATGCTGGCAAAGACTTTGACATTCACCATGAGGAAGGACAAGCTTTCGCAGTTGTGAAACAGCTCATGGAGGTGTCCAGGGTTTTGAATAAAGGATATCATTTGTTTACTGTTAATTTTTACACCAAGCCAGCATGAGCAGAGTATCTTCTAGAAAAAAAAACCTTTGCTAACTGGAACGGTGAGAGCAAACTCTCGAGGATTGCCAGAGGAGAAGTCCTCAAAACTGACAGTTGGTGAAAGCACATTCTGGCGCAAAGGTGAAATGTTATGAAAAAATGTCTAAAAAAAAGAAAAGAGATGAAAGAACACCAGAAATTGATTAAAGAAAGAGAGAAAAGAGAATGCCTTGAGAAGAAAGAAGAAGCATGGGGCGGAGAAGCAAAAAAGGGCTAAAAAGATGAATCTAATGGAAAGTCAGGAACATGTTGGCAACGATTCTAACATTGATGACACGTCAAAAGAAGAATGCTGCTCTGGATGCCAGATGAGATCTAGTGGATTTACTAGAAATCTTTAGGTCCAGTGCGATATCTGTGATTCCTGGTGGCACACGTGTTGCACTCAAACAGCAAAGAATTTAAATGCAGAGGAGCTACAACAGTTCAACTTTGTGTGCGACATGTGTTGCCCCAAGCATCACACAGATTTCAAGATTTATTGCAACTTTTGTATAGGCCCCCTATAATGTAAAATAAAATATCTATGTTCTGGTGTACTTGTGTAGGCCTATAGAAGTATATATATATATATATGAAGACCTTCGTGCTAAAAGTACTTAAGTCACATTTTTATAAAAATAAAACTAAATAGCCATTGCTACCTTTCCAGGTTAAGCTGGATGTCCTGTATAAATATAAAAGATTAATTATGTACCTAAGTCCCCCTTTAAAGCAAAAAATAGAAATACCAACTTCTGTGGACAAAAAGTAATTAAGTCAAGTGTTTCTGTGCTAAAAGTTCTTAATTTTGCTAATCCAATCATTTTGCTCGATTGGGTCACATGGTGATTATATTAAATCTAGATCTAGTTATTGATTACTTTGTATTATTTGTTTCACTGAGTTCAACAGTATAAAATTAATAGAAAATAATAGGCCTACATTTTATATTTTCAGGAGAAGCACATGCATCTTACGGTAACAAGCTCAAGCCATCAAAGGAGGCTTTCATTGTGGAATGTCGGTGCAAATGCCTGACAAAACTAACCGAAGTGGAGAGGAAAAGAATTTTCACAGAATTTACTACATTGAAGGACCATGAGGCTCAAAATGTTTATCTACGAGGATGCATAAGTGTTAATCCTGACACAGTAATACGTCAGGAGCGAAGCAGCTTTTCTTATTCTGTAACTGTCCAGGAACAAACCATTTTAATTTGCAAAGGAGCTTTTCTTGGATTGCACAGCAAAAAAGAATCGAGATTAAAAAGAAAAGTCCTTCTGACATGGGTGACCAAGACGTGTCGTGTTTCAGAATTCTTCAGTGCAATATTCTCGGACTTCGTTCCCGTTTACCCGAGTTGCAGCGTATTCTGAATTTTCACAATGTGGATGTGGCTTTGTTACAAGAAACTCGTATTTCCTGTAAGGATTGGATTTCTATACCGGGCTATTATTTTTATACCTGCCGTTGTGCCGTGAACAATGTAACTTTTCTGTCAGTATATCTGATGGACGTGGTAAGCATGGCAATCTTAAAAAGATTGATGAAGAAATTCGTAAGCGTGTTTGTGACCATATTAGAATGTTTCCTGCTCATGAAAGCCACTATAGTAGATCAAAGAATATGCACAAGAAATACCTTGATGCCTCACTGACAGTTGCTGAAATGCATAGGTTATTTATACAAGAAAATCCTGATCTGCAGGATAAAATGAATAAAATCAAATAGGGCCCTACTGGTTGTATCTTGAATGAATTCAACATCAAAATTGGATTTTCTCGCTCTGACATTTGCGATAGATGTGAGAGGTTTGATGCGGACATAAAGGCTGCTGAAATAGCCAATAACAGTGTTTTATTTAACAACCTGAAAACGTAGCATGAGCTTCACATCAAGAAAGCTGATGTGTTTATGTGCAAATTGAGAAATTACTGAGACAACTTCAGCTGCAAAGCTAACTCAAGACACTGCAGTGATCTGCATGGATTTTGAAAAAAACCTGCCCCTACCTTTAACTGGCATTGGGCAAGAGTATTACAAACGCCAACTGTGGATCCATAATTTCTTGTGTATCCATGACAATCACAATGTTAATAAATAATAACTCGGCTAAAATGTGTATGCAGCAAAGGGTCAGTCATAATGAAGTTAAATCTTGCCTCGACCATTATATTTCTACACTGGATAGCTCAATATCTAAGCTTATCCTGTTTGTGGACAACTGCTTCTGCCTGAACAAGAACCGTTTCATTTTTGGTTATCTACAACTACAGGGCATTGTGAATAAAGGTCCCTACCTGACACACTGACAACAGTTTATCTGATTCTGAACTTTGCGATCGAGATTTTTGGCGCTTTTCAGCCCTAGCGCAAGCATGGTCAAGCGACTGCAAGAAAAAAAAAGAATCTGGATTCTGTACTCTAGATCCAATCTACAAATCTAGATATTCTAGGCCCTAAATCTCAGGATCTATTCTTCTAGACCTAGATTTCTAGATCTAGAGCCTACGTGGATCGATCCCACACTTCCAACTACAACTAGGCCTAGAGGTCTAGATCTAGAGGCTTACACGCCGGAAATGGGCGGGAAGCGTTTTTTCTTAGGCATAGCCTACCAGGCAATAATCCAAACCTACCAGGTTTTCCAAAAAAAAAAAAAAAAAAAAAAAAACCATCAATTTTTATGATATGCCAAGGCGAGCTTACCTAGTTAAAACATCACCACGAGTGATTCAAGGCCCAACTTCGTTTATACTACAATACTAGTTTAAAGCTAAGACTATGTATGTAACGAAAAAAGTGGAAAGGTGTTTGATATAGGCTATCAATACTGTTAATTTTATTATGCTATTAAATTTAATCGGGGACATCCATTGGAACATTTGTGACTTATGTCGTTATGACGCTCATGCAGAAATGAAGTCGTGTATTTATTATTTAACTACATTTAATGGTGGATACTAGTTGACCAAATAACTTTTTAATTTACCTGACTCGTGAAGTCCGAAAAAAAATGAGTTAACAATAACATACTAGTAGAGGCGTAGCGACCCATTCCGGCGCTCAGGGCGAACTATCGATTTTGCGCCCCCCCCCCCATTTCTATACTTATTCATATTGGTTCAAAGGTCCCCAACCCCCTAGTTGTATTGGCAGACCCCCCCCCCACCCCACCCCCCCTAGTCATTTTCCCTCAACGGTTTTTATGTTGGTGTCGAACAACTGATGTAGAAAACAATTAAGTCCGTAAAGCTATGTAACAGTCTATTTACATTTTTCCAACCCCTTTCGGCGCCCCCTTAAGGTCGGCGCCCGCCCCACCCTCCCTCAGCTACGCCTCTGCATACTAGATCTAGAAGTAGAATTATTTTCCAGAAACTGCTCGACTTGTGACCTAGGCCTATGTTAGGCCTAGTATCTTAATTTATCCACCAATCATATGCGTAGTTTACAACAACATAACCTATGACCCCGAAACATGTTTACAATGTTTAGGCCGAACTAAAGTTCATCTCGAATTCTCTACAACAAACGCGAAGCGGTGTCAAATAATATAAATATCGAGCCGTTTCAAGCTCGAGTATTAGAACACCGACTAGAAGCTGCTATTAAACGTGTAAATTGCTGTATCGGTTTAGAACTGCTTTTGATTCAATCTACTTAAAACTACTTTCTACATATAATATTTAACATAGTTGCAAATTATTACAAGAAAAGGTCTAGATTCTAGATCTAGAAATCTAGATTGTCTAGAAAAAACTTTACAATTTACAGTTTACTTGACTTCAGATTTAACTTAGGGAAGCTGCTCTCGCTGTGTTAAAACTTGAAATACATCATAACACGTGTTTATTAGTACAGGACTACTCATTGACTCAACCTGAAAATGTTTGCCATCCACCCACGACTGTGTGATGAAAACAACTTACTCCGACTAGTAGATGACCTAGTTCATCCTTGGGACGTTTACAGATCGCCTGTGCTTTGTAACGCAGATAGAACACACTCTAACAACAGTGGCCGTCTGGGGGATTCAGAGGTGGGTTCAAAATAATCTCATGTAATCTTTATTAAATTAAAATATATACTCAGAGCTAGATCTATATAGTATAAGTATATACCTATAATTAATATATATATAATATATATAATAGTATTATAGATCTAGGCTTACTTACAATAGGGCTCAAAGGCCTAGTATTTTTTAATGCAATAAAATTGACTAATTATTAATTAATGTTAATTTAGACCTACATATATTATCATGGACTATTTATTAAATTAATAAATTTCACAGGTCAACTTAATTGGGAACATTTCCCCTAAAGTAAAAGGCTTACAAGAAAACACTTAGATTTCTATATCTTATAAATTCATTAATTTTAATATAATTTCTAGGATTAGTAGGATATGGGTAGATTTGTCGGCTATCTTCCGAGGCATAGCGATAGGGGGGGGGGGGGGGGGGGGGGCAGGGGGGGTACATATGTCCCTGGGCGCCGACCTTAGGGGGTGCCAAAATGGGTTGTAAAAACAAATTAAATTGTCATTTTTGCTGCATTTTTGCATTATAGTTTGAGGTGGGGGTGCAAATCGAAAGTTTGAGGGGGGGGGGTTTGCAAATTGAAAATTTGCTCTCGAGGGGGCGCCAAATTGAAATTTTGTCCCCGGGAAGGGTCGCTACGCCTCTGCTATCTTTCGTAGGTTTGTAGATCTAGACTAAAGGAAACGAAGTATAATGATGATAATGTATCATGCCCATTTTAATTTTATTAGGATAAGCTAGCGATGAATTATGGTTATGATATATTGTTTTGTAACATTGACTTTTATAAATTAAATGATAAATCTATTACAGATACAAAACACTGACAAAGAATTCAGGATTCGCTTAGATCTCCGCCATTACAGTCCTGAAGAAGTTAAGATTACCTCAGACAACAAAAAGATCACAATCAAAGCAAAGCATGAGGAGAAGCAGGATAAACATGGTTTTGTGTCTAGGGAAATGATCAGGACATATGCACTGCCAGATGTAAGTAGTTTATAGAAACAAATATATCTCATGCTACTGAATTTTCATTTTAAAAGTTAAAAAAGCAGTTTTACAGTAATTGTTTCATTCTTACATGGCTGCTATTTACTTCATTTTTTATTATACTTATACCTTTGCTTTTCATGTGTAATTTTGAATTTCAGAATGTGGATGCAACATCTGTAACATCAACAATGAACTCACAAGGAACTCTTCTTATTAAAGCTTCAAAGAAAGCAATTGAACCTCCTAAAGAAATTGCTATCCCAGTGGAGTTTAAAGGCTAAAGAACTGTTTAACATACATTAAAGTTTGATATATGTGGTTTAAGTTACCTAACATTTACTTGAGTTGTTAATGCACAATTTAAATATCATTTGTTTTCTATGTAAAATACATGTTCAAAGCATGAATGTGTATTGAATAGATGTTTTTTGATTTAAAATTTAGCACTTGAATATTATACTTGTATTTTGTAAATGTTTGTGTGATATGATTTTGTTGTCCCCTCCAGATTCATGGATATTACTATTTCATATTAGTATTATTAGTTATGATGAATAAGTCAATATGTTGATTGTTTTTGGATGTTTTGTTTTAGACTAATGGGACCTAGAAATAACTGCTACTGTACATATTTCTATATCTATGGAAAAGTTTTGGCAATATGTAAAAAAAAAAGTTTACACAATATACATACTCTGGTGACATTTTTTGTGTTGCCTGCATTATCATTTCATCTTTTTTATTAAAATGTATTTGAAATGGCAACTGGTTATTTAAAAATAAAAGTTTAGTATTTGAGTTGAAACCTTGTTTTAGTTTAATTCAAACTATTAGTATGCCTGTTTTTTTTTTTTAAAATATTTACACCTTTAGTCTGTTTCATTGTTGCTAAATTCATTTTTGAATAAAGCACATTTTTGTACTTATCTCCCAATATTGATCTCCATTTGTGTTTTCACAATTTACCCTTTTGAACCATGTTGGTCCATGGGTTGGCAGTTTCCTCTGGCATAATGTGGTGAGCACTATGCCCTGTCCCCTATACTGTAACTTTCAAGCACCCATGAGGGGTCGGCGTGGTCGAGTCGGTAAAGCTCATGGTTGCTAAACCGAAAAAGTCTCGAGTTCGAACTCTCGGGCAGATGAGGCTCGTTAGCTGGGGAAACTCCAAAATCAAACAACTGCTGCCTTGTTTGTTCTTGGTTGGACAAAGGCTATGGAAGCAAATCCAAAAAGAAAAGCAGGCTGAAATCTGAGTCAATGGCGCATAACCAGCTGACACGTAATCCTTAATTGTGATGGAAATATGGTCGAGTCTGCAAAGCTCATGGCTGATAAATTCGAAAAAAGTCTCGAGTTCAAACCCTCTGGCAGATAAGGCTCAATCCCTCCCAACACTAAAAATTAAGAACGAAGAAGCACCCATGAGATCCAGGTTGACTCATATGGGACTGGAAACTATTGTTAGTTCAGTTCTTTCAACTGACCAGCTGTCAAATTACAAAATACTTCTAGTAGTTCTCGAGTGTTTTGAAAAAATTTAAGCACTGTGTGTTTAAAGTGCCTACCACTCCAGCTTGCATACACAAGCAGAATTCAAACAGGTTAGCACAGAACCAACCACGGGGAAGTGACAAATGAAGTATAGGCCTACAGTTAACGCCCACACTTTGAACAAATGATAACTAAACATTAAATATGGTTTATAAATACTTTATTTTATACTACACTGAAGTTTATCTTTACAAAATTCATTGACTGTCTTGATTGCAGATGTCAGAGATGGATTGATATTTTTGGATCCACTTCCTCCTGTTGATAGATTTAAAATATAAATTTAAAGCTGATAAATTGCAATACAAAATACAAGTTAAAATAATGCATTTCAATTTATTGCTCAATGACAATTTTAGTGTGCTCATATGGTTTATGCATTCACATGAGTTTACTTACAATACACTTAAAGTAAGTTATGCTGTAAAGTTAAAAATAAAGATGCCACTAATGGGGCATTTAACAGTAATTTAATTAATTTATATTACAAAAGCAAATAACAGATGAGAACCTGTGTTCACGAGACATCCCTATCATCAAAAACTGTTCTCTGTCAGCTGTTCTAAAGGTTACTGTAGCACATATGGTTTATGCATTCACATGAGTTTACTTACAATACACTTAAAGTAAGTTATGCTGTAAAGTTAAAAATATAGATGCCACTATTGGGGCATTTAACAGTAATTTAATTAATTTATATTACGAAAACAAATAACAAATGAGAACCTGTGTTCACGAGACATCCCTATCATCAAAAACTATTTTCTCTGTCAGCTGCTCTAAAGGTTACTGTAGCATTTGTGACATATCGGGTTGTAAATGATCCATCAATAAGTCTCCATACTCCTTGCAAGGATGATCATTTTTAACTGAATAAAATTGTATTACTGGATAAGTTGTGCACTTGTATAAAAGCATAGTACTATGACTTTCTTATTTTTTTAATAACTAAATTATTTACTTATTACTTTCATGTATGTTTACAATATACACAGTGTTACGGGTCAGTTGTAGGTTAAATTAGAATAGGATAGAATGATCTAGAATTAGGGGAGAGTGAGTGTGTGAGCTGAATTTACCCTAAAATATTGTTAACCCCGGTGTGTTTTTGTATTGTTATTCCAAGGTCGAATGCAGTATAAAAGCTGGAGTGAATGATTGTTAGAATTAGTTGCTAGCGATTAGGACGAGGGCTACTTTTGTATATATTTTTGAAGGAATAAAAGTAGTGAACATAGTCACGAAGAGGAATTGTTTATCTGAAACCAACCTGAACGTAACAACTGGTGGCCAGTATTAAACAAGTAAAGATAGCGTAATCACTTGGCACCACCAATCTACTGCCTAGGGGCACCACCAACCTACTGTGTGAGGGCACAACCAACCTACTGTGTGAGGGCACCACCAACCTACTGTAAGGGCACCGCCAACCTACTGTGTGAAGGCACCACCAACCTGTGTGTGGGCACCACCAACCTACTCTACTGTGGGAGGGCACCACCAACCTACTGTGTGAAGCACCACCAACCAACTGATTAAGATTAATAAAATAAATGAAAACCTGTAGCTCATCTTGGCTTATTTTCATTGATTTTTTTTTTTACTTAAGAGGTTGCAATTGCTATTGTAAGTATGCTTGTCCAGTAATCAATCTTGATTTCTATATTACAACTTCTGTTACAACTTCTGATAACAACTAAGTCTTGCTTAATTTTTAAATTAACTTAAAAAAATGTAATGTAAACAATAGCCTATGGTTTTGTTAATACTTCCTTTTTTCCTTCAGTACACCACCAAGTTAGTATTCTGCAACAGCTTGACTACTTCAGAGAAGAACTGAAAAAAAGTTCTTAAACAAAAAAAAATGTAATGAGAATTTTACAAAATTACAGTCATATTACGTCACTGTCATAACAGCCGCCAAAGTCATTTTTTGGGGGTTTTGAGGTGGTAAGGGAGGTCTTTTCAAATGTTCCAGCTTACCTCTAATATACCAGCAGGATAGAATCGACTACTCAAATGACACAGTTGAACCAGGATTTTTCCCTGGACTGGAAGCTGTCTCAAGTAAAGTAGCAGACATCTTGAATACAGCGAGAAAAAAACGTGGAAGTTTCAAAACCTGTAAGTACTACAATTTCACTAATCAGAAAGATCAGTATCCATGGAGTGGCACCTGGGCAACACCCCAAGAACACTTTAAGAGTGATAATAAAAGGGACCAAAGCAAGAAGAATAGATGAGATCACCCTTGAAGATATTTTTGATTATGAAAATCAAACTAGCCGCCAACAAGTTCTTAATTGCTACAACATGGGGACATCCAATATGTGGTTTTTATCAGTTAAATCCAAGGAACTGTACAAATCTCTACACATGGTAGAAATTGCCAAGGATTTAACTTACTGTGCTAGTATTCTCCTATTACATGCGGACAAAAAGGACCAAAAAGGCCACCTTAAATGGATTCCGCAAACTTTCAACAAGGAATTAATAAACCACATAATGATATCCATTTCGTAACCCGATACTATGGAACCCTAAAAATAGGAAAAAAGGACCGCTGGGCAATTGATTTTTGCCCCAACGCCCCAGCCACTTTATCCAGCTAGAGATAGGTGGGGAAACCCATACAATCCTCTTGCAATGGGCCGTATTTCTAAGAAAGCGCCGGTAGGTGGCGCCACAGGGAATTAGGTTAGCAACCAAGAGATGCGTTGAGCGTCCCTTTACATTTTCTTAAAGTTAAAGCAATAACACGAAAGATGGAGAAAGTCAGCTTCGGGAAAATGAATTTAGTTCAACTTAAAGAAGAATGTCGAAGAAGAGGAGCAAAAATAAGTGGAAGAAAAGGAGATCTTGTAAAAAGGTAACATTTTAATATTTGTTGATTGATTTTGCTTGCTAGATTTCATTTTGAAAAGAAGTGACTAGACTAGATCTAGCTAGAGAATCTAGGCCCTGCATTAATTTTAATTTATTTATTATTTAGTAAAGAAAATGCGTCAGGGTCGTCTCAGGTAATCTAAATTCTAAATGAATAATCAGATAGCCTAATTAAATAGTAGTGTAACTGACAGTATTAACTTAAAAATTTTATTTTAATTTATCTTTGTTACATTACTGAAACTGCTCTCGACCGAGTTAAAACATGTTTCTGCAAGAGGTTTTATCGACATTGGTAGTTGTGGTCTGCACACCATACACAATGCCTTTCGTTCTGGGCTTGTGGCATCTAAGTGGGAGTTAAGTCACTTCTTCTCCTCTCTCTCATGGTTGTTGAAAGATACTCTGGCACACCGTGAAGACTACACGAGACTCACTGGTAGCAGCGATTTCCCCCTGGATCATTGCCCACATCGCTGGGTGGAGAATTGTTATGGTTGCAGAGAGGGCATTAAAAGTTTGGCCCCATGTCAAGCGATTTATTACATCCATTTTGACAGAAAAAAAAAGCCCCAAACACCAAGTCTTTTGAATTTTTGCAAAGTTGTTTGAATGACCATTTTTTAACTCCAAGGATTGAGTGTTTTATTTCAATTGCCAAGACTTTGCAGCCATTCCTTAAAAAATTTCAAAGCGATGCCCCCATGCTGCCATTCATGGCACATGAGCTTTTTAACCTTTTGCGATCCCTGCTTCAGAGGTTTGTTGCACCAGAAGTTTTCAAGAAAGAATGCTCATCAGTTGCAACACTGCTGTGATTAGACATGTCAACAACAAAAAATCTTTTACCAGCGTCTGATGTTGACATTGGTTTCAAGTCCAAAGCTGCAGTCAAAGAAATTAAAAATAAAGTGAGCCAAAGGGATATTTTTCAATTCCAGATGGAATGCAGGGATTTTTTTTAAAGCAGTTGTGACAAAGATTATAGACAAAACACCCATTAAGAACAAGAT